CTGCCTGAGAGACGGAGATGGACACAACATCCAACTTTGCTTGCATTGCATCAATATTCTCCAGAGCAGTATTGAGTTTGGCAGTCGAAACAGAGGTTAAGGATGATGTTTTACCCTTCTCATGCTTATCACCTAAATCTTCAGAGTCTGCCTTGAGAATCCAGGAGGACCCAGAGTGAATGAAGCCCATGCTTTGGAAGGCACGAGAGTTATAATACTGCTTGATAAGCACTGGAGAAAAGTCGCTGAGGCACAAGAATTGATGTTCAAAAATACGAGTAAGAAGCATCCCAAACGGAAGGCTAGAGGGTCAGAGATAACATCCGTCATAGCAGAGAGAGTGAAGGAATAAATATGCACTTTAATGGAAGAGACAAGGCTGTAGACAAATAGGGTATCACGCTGAGTGAGTGTAGAGTGAGATCCAGACCTAGGAAGAAGAGTAGTACCAACAATATGCGCAATCACACGGGATTCAAAATGAAGGTATTTAGGACCTAGATGAGGGGGAATAGGTTTTGAAGGGTCAAGGATAAGTTCACGCTTAGCTTGATCATACAAAACATCACAATTAGTTGGCCAGCAGTTCTTAGGAAGGGCCATAATCCCAAAGCAAGAAATACCAATCATAAAATCAAATTTCTTATGGTCAATAAAAAACGCTTCCCCAGAACTAAGGATTCGATTTCACCAACTTTTGGGGAGAGAAGATTAGCATAAAATAGACAAACATGGGGATCATATGCAACCATGTGAATAGAACCCAACCCTAAAACTCAAAAAGTATTTTTATATGGCAGTCCAACGAAGATAGAATATCAAGATCAACAACCCTTCCATGCACATGGGTTTTATCTTTAAGAGAATGAAAGAGAGATTCATGAGACGCGTTCCAAAAATCCACTTTAGTATCAAGGGAACTGACGAAAGCAAACTTAATTTTCTTCTTAGAAGAGCCACAATCATCAGAATCAACATGAAACTTACCTCGAGACGAAGCAACCGAGGTGGGATGAATAAGATCGTCTGAACTCTTAGAATCGATGAAGATAGCACAAGGTATCTTGCCCTTGTTCTTGTTGCGAGAGAACTTACGAGTAGTGGAGGAGGAAGATAAATAGAAGAACAAATCCAAGAAGAGAGATATAAAGGCAAAGAAGGAAGGAAAAATGAATGGTTTTTGACATGACTTAAGGGAAATGACGGATGGGGAAAAGAAAAGACATACCAGTCGTAAATAAAGAGGAGAAGTAGAAGAATAAAATGAAACACAATAATCAAGGGAACATAAATATGGAAAGATGAGCACACAATAAATGTAAGAAATCAATTCAGTAAATTAAGGGATTTTCGACAATATTAAGAGATTTTCTAAGAGAGCAAAACCTTTCTTCCAAAAGTGGTTTAGTAAAATTATCAGCCAATTGAAAATCAGTACTAATGAAAGCAATTTCAATATCACCATTTAAAACATGATCTCAAATAAAATGATGTGTTATGTCAATATGCTTAGCCCTGGAATGGTGCACATAATTTTTTGAGAGACAAATAACATTGGAATTATCACACATAATTTTAACAGGTTTAAGCCATGGGGTTGTATGACATATACCTCTTCTTAAAAACAACCGTTTAGAAAAGCACTTTTGACATCCATCTGATAGAGCTTGAATTCCATGTGAGCAACATATGCTATCAACATTCTAATTGCTTCCATTCTTGCTACGGGGGCAAAAGTTTCATCATAGTCTATTCCTTCTTCTTGATTGTATCCCTGTACAATTAGTCTAGCTTTGTTGCGTGTGACCTGCCCTTGTTCATCAAGTTTATTTCTGAAAACCCACCTTGTTCTTATCACTGTTCTATTTTGAGGTCGTGGGACCAGGTTCCAAACCCTGCTTCGTTCAAATTGATTCAGTTCTTACTGCATAGCAGTAATCCAGTCAGGATCTAACAATGCCTCTTTTATATTATTTGGTTCAATCAAAGATATATAAGTTGAGAATGCACATATGTTTTGTAGTTTGGATCTTGTATGGATTCCTGAATCTAGAGGAGTGAGGATGTTTTGTATAGGGTGTGAGCTCTGGTGTTTCCAGCTGTAAGGCTGACTTTCATGAGTGTTTTCAGAGGGAAGGGGACCTGATTCAGTAGTATTTTCATCTTCTGTTACATGGTTTTTTTGTGGGGATATGGGATCTGGTTCATTTATTTTTGGTTCTGATGGGTTTGGCATCCCTATTTCATTTTGATCATTTTCTGAATTCCCTTTAATTAAGCTATTTCCTTCATCAAAGATAACATGGATGCTTTCCTCCACACAATTTGTTCTTTTGTTAAGTACCTTGTAGGCTTTACTTTGTGATGAATAACCGAGAAAAAATCCTTCATTGCTTTTGGCATCGAATTTTCCTAGGGCATCCTTGTCATTATTATGCACATAGCAAGTACACCCAAAAACTTTAAGATGTGTTAAGTTTGGCTTTCTTCCTTTCAATAGTTCATATGGAGTCTTGTTTAACACCGATCTAATCATACATATATTTATGAGATAACATGTCGTGTTTACAACCTCAACCTAGTAGGTCATTTGAAGATTGCTTGAGATCAGCATGGTTCTTGCGACATCTTCCAGTGTTCTATTCTTGCGTTCAACTACACCATTTTGTTGTGGTGTTCTAGGTGCTGAAAAGTTATGCTCAACACCATTTGTGGAACATAATTCCAAGAATTTTGAGTTTTCAAACTCTAGTCTATGATCGGAGCGGATGCTGGTGATTTCCTTGTTGAATTTCTTCTGGACCAGTTTTGCGAAGATTTCAAACATGGTATATGTCTCATCTTTTGTTGCAAGGAATAATGTCCATGTGAATCTTGAGTAGTTGTCTAAAATCACGAATACATACCTTTTACCTCATCTGCTTTGTACACGCATTGGCTCGCATAAATCCATGTGATGTGGTTCCAGTGGCCTAGTGGTGCTAACCATCAATTTTGGTTTGAATGAGGATCTTACTTGTTTCCCTTGAATACATGCTCCACATACCTTATACTCATTAAAATTTTTAGTTGGGAGCCCCCGGACCAGGTCCTTGGATATGAGCTTGTGTATTGTCGAGAGGCAGATATGTCCCATCCTTTTGTGACAGAGAATAGAGCAATCAGTGACTGCGCCGAGACACTTAAGTGTATTTTCCTGAGGATTCATGATATTCATTTTATACACATTCTTATGCCTTTTTCCTAGAAGAATCAGTTTCTTGAGGCTGAGTTTGTCACCTTACATTCTTTAGCTGTGAAGAGCACACTGTTTCCTTTGTCAGACATTTGAGATACACTAAGCAGATTATGTTGTAGTCCTTTCACATAGTACACATTATCAATTGTATGAGCATGCATTGACCCAACCTGTCCAATTCCCTGTATTTCTCCATTTTTTCCATTTCCAAAGGCCACATTTCCACCTTTGAAGTTTCTCAGTGAGAGGAAGTTACTTTTGTCCCCAGTCATGTGCCTGGAGCACGAGCTATCCATGTACCATTGCTTTAGCTCCCTCCTCACTGATCCTGCAATCAACATTTATGGGTTAGTTTTGGGTACCCAGATCCACTTGGGTCCCTGTTTATTAGAGAAAGGATGAATGAGATTCTTCCTAGCCCATTTAGGGAGGGGTTTAGTTTTGGGAACTTGTTTTGTAACTCTCTTAGGATGTGGTTTCCTTAAGAAGGCTAGATTATTTTTATGAGTAGTTAATTTCTTATGACAATGACTACTTTTATGCCCAGTTAACCCTCAATGTAAGCATAGTCAGTCTATGTTGGGATTTTTCACTTGGGAATTTTTGTCAAAACCTATTCCATGTCTTGTAGAGGTTTGACTTTTGTGAATATTATCGAGTAGTATGGAGGACCTGGTCCATCTCACGGTATTATCTGCTTCAACTTTAATCATATGAAGTTCTTTGTTTAGCTCTTCATTCCTCTTAGTCATGGAATCTAAGTTATTATTTAGCTCTGTTATTTTGCTTAAAGAGTGATGATTGTGTTTTTCAAGATTCTCATTTTCTTCTCTTAGTGATGCATAGTCTTCCATTATTAGTTCCTTTCTTGAGTCTGCAGACTGATATGCATTAATGAGAGTGTACAATAAGGACTCTAATTCTCTTTTTGAGTATGAACTAAGATTATTTTTTACGTGATGAAGGCTTACCTTGCCATGTATGTCTTCCTCCTCATCCTCTTCAGAATCTGATCTAGCCATAAGTGCTTGGATTGTTTGTTGTGATTTACCGATGTTCCTTTCTTCTTCTTCTTCTGATTTTGATATGGCAACTAGAGCAAGAAAGTCATATTCATCAGCTTGCTTGATTGCAAAAAGTGCTTATTTTCCAGTTCTCCATCCTCAGATTCTTCTTCAGATAGGTTTCCCATTGCTACGAAGGATTTCTTCATTGATAGATCTGCTTCTTGATTCGTCAATCATCTGTTTAAGGAAATGTATTTGTCATTCTTGATTTCCCTTGTTTTTTCTGAAGTGCCTTTTTTCTGCTCCAAAGCCCAAAGTGGGCAAAACTTGATGAAGTGATCTGTATTTCCACACTTATGACACACTTGTTCTTTTGTATTCTCATTGGTTTTCTGAGGGTTTCTTCTCTGAAATACTTGCCCTCTCTTTAGCATTCTAGAAAACCTTTTGGTCATTAGTCCAATATTTTCGTCCTTCAAGTCTTCTGGTACAGTAGCCTTTAGGACCAGGTTCCTTTCATTTCTCTTCCCTCCAATTTCTTTTTCTTGATTTTTCTTGAGTTCGTATGTAATGAGATTTCCAATTAGTTCGTCCATAGCTAGTGCATCCAAGTCACGAGCTTCAGTGATTGCTTCAACTTTGCTTTCCCATGATTCAGGGAGAACACTTAAGAGTTTCCTTACTGCCTTTCCATTCGGAACTATTTCTCCCAAGGAGTACATCTCATTAATGATTGAGGTGAACCTGGTGTGCATCTATTGTATGGTTTCACCCTCTGCCATTCGAAACAATTCATATTGCCTGTTTAGGTTATCGATTTTAGACTTTTTTACTTGCGTTGTTCCCTCGTGAGCAGTTTGTAATGTTTCCCATATAGCTTTAGCATCCTGACATGATGAAATTCGATTGCATTCATCTGGACCTATACCGCATATCAAGATTTTCTTGGCCTTGGCATTGTTATGGACAGCTAGTTTGTCTGCAACGTCCCATTCCTTCCTTTCTTTTGGGATCTTGGTGACTCCATCAGTTCTAGTTTTCATAGGTATAGTTGGTCCATCCAGAATAACTCCCCATAAATTGGGGTTTTCTCCGATAAAATGATCCATCATGCAATTTTCCACCATCCGTAGTATTTTCCATTGAACAATGGTGGTCGAGTTTGTGAAGCTCCTTCTTGTGGGGTGGGTGGTGCTACCATTGATTCTTTTCAAGATATGAATCTTTTAACGAAAAAGACCCGCTCTGAAACCAATTGAAGAAACCTTTCCCCTAGAACAAGAACCAGGTTCTTGTGTATTTGCCTATGACAGAACACTTAGAAGCCATAAATACTTTTCGTTAAAAGCTTTCTCACTCAAGGAAAAAACCCTTGTTTTATTCTTTAACAACTATGTTACGATTACAACTCGATAATCAATAACCTCACCAAAAAATCTCGATTAACTATAATCGACTAACTCTACTCTCCAAGAGGCCAAATCGACCTCTTGTTACAAATCTCTCAATGACTCAACTCTACAAGAAGCCAAACCCATTTCTTGTACAACAATTCTATGACAATGACTCTAACTATGAATCAAAGATACATTTTCACAAAAGAAATTCTAACTATAGAACTTCTTGAGTTCTATTCCTATGAACTCTCAATTTAGTAGGCTTTTGCGTATTGTTTCACTCTTTCTTCCCCTCGTTTCTCGATTATGAAAAAGACTTTTTATCCCTTCTGCCTTGCCATCCTTTTATAGAGTCTGAAAGTTGGTGTCCGATTTGCATAAAGAAAAGAATTAAAGTTGTACTACAAAAAGGATTTAGTTTGGCCTTTTATTACAAATCTTTTTCGTACACAACTTCCTCTTTTATTTGTTTCCTTCTTTAACTCTACTTTCTCGTTTGTTTGTAGTTTCCTTCTTTGACTCGACTTTCGTGTGATAATAACTCTTCTTTTTGAACTCTTATCCCAGTTGGAATGGTTTGTGGGTTCTGCACATCTATAGTGGCTGAACCTAATAAGATAGCAATTACAACCCAAGAAGTAATAAGTACTTGGCCATGTACTTGGAAACCCCCTATTGCCAATAGAAATGTTGGCCTACTTCCACACCGGATATATCGTATATAACCCCTTTAGAGTACTGATGGAACATGATAGAACATTCATATTGTCTTGCCCTATGAAAAAATCAAACTTTAAACAATTTTTTTTGATTCAACCATCTCTTTGTCTACTTGAATCAGATATTTTGAATACCAACTAAGATTTAAAATACTAATAAATCACATAATATCCCAGTTATTTTGATCTATTTTTTGAAATTCAGAAATAGTAAGCGATTCCATAAGGGATTTCATCCCTACAACTGATTGGTGGGGGGTAATGACAATATTAATTGCTACTGTCTTACTCTATAGAATTACTACATTTTGAAGTAATTGCATATGTTACTAATTTCTTGCTACATTATGTCACAATTTATTGGTGGCTTTGTATCCCATTACTTCTTCACTCTCTATTTCTCATTATTCATTATAATTTAGGTAACTTCTAGGACATTTTTCTTCTCTATTTACTTTACCATTACCTTCTTATTCATTGCTAGGAAGACTTTTCCAATTATAAATAGTGGTGGTCTTCATTTATTTTGAGAGAGTGCATACAAGCTAGTCAAAAAGAGAGTTCTTATTAGTTTAAGCGATGTGTTCTTTTTATGGAGTTTTAAACTCAACTCTTGTCCAGAGTTTGTTGAGTTATACTTCGTGGTTGGGTTGTTGTTCTTGGATGGGACAAGTCAATGAGGACTACTGCTGGACCGGTGAAGACATTTGCTACATTGAGCTTAAGTCTCTTTAAAGAGAGCGAGATATCCGTGCCTCAGCCATAAGGTATTTTTATTCTTTATTTTATTTTTCAATTATAAATTGTAATCTTTTAATATTCACCAACAATTTTAAGGAGATTCAAAATGGCTATAGTTGAATAATTCGCAGATGTCAAGATGAGAGATCTTAAAAAGTCATTTCGGTTCAATGGTAACTATTTCAAGAAATGGAGGTGTAAAGTATTTTTCTACTTAAGTCTTCTCAATGTTTCTTATGTGTTAACTGAGAAGAATCTTAATAAAGTTGATAATACTTCTATGAATGATATGATAAGCTTATTTCTCATCTAGAAAAAAGTGGAAAAGTACGATGGTGATTTGTATAAGTATCGGTATTGTTTTCTTAATTGTCTATCTTATAATTTTTATGAGTATTATGATAGAAATTACTGTAGTGCAAAGAAAATTTGGAAAGTATTACAAAGTAAGTAAGATGTCGTAGAGGCTGGAGTGAAAAATATGTGGCTAGTAGATTTTTTCGCTTTCAAATGGTGGACAACAAATCAGTGGTAGACCAAGCTCGAGACTTTACAATGATTGTTAGAGAACTCAAGTCCGAGGAGATCAAAATTGAAAAAAAATAACCTTATTGTTTGTGGCATAATAGACAAACTTCCTCCGTCTTTGAACGAATTTCAAAAAAACAATGAGCCACAAATAAAAAAAACCTCTCTTGAGATGTTGATAATGTGAATCCACATGGAAGAGGAGGCAAGGAGCCATGATGCACTTTTACAATTAGAAGAGAGCAACATCACAACAAAGGTAAATTATTTCAAATAATGCTACTCTTGATTCTCACAAAAATACTTATATGAAGCCTAAAAAAATAAAATTTCAAGAAAAATAATGGTAGACCTCCCAAGAAAATAATGAAGGAAATAATCAAAAGTACAAAATTAACAAGTTCAAGATAAGGTACCATGCTTTGCTTGTGGCAAGAGTGAGCATATTGTCAATCTTACAAATTTCAGAAACCTGGTTCTGTACCTTAGGGACCTGGTCTTGTTGTACTTGAAGGCTTTTCTAATGCACATTGGAACACCTTATCAAGTGATTCACATTCTACACTGGCTATAATTTTATTTTGGGTGATGGTAATATTTGTGGGAGATCAAAAAAGGAAACTATAATTGCTAACTCTATCATGGAGGTATAACTAATTGTTTTAGCTTCAGCTAGTGAGGAAGCGAATTGGTTGAGAGATTTATTATTTCAAATACCTTACTTTAAAAAAAAAAATTCCTCCTATTTTAATTCATTGTGATAATACTACTACAATTGGTAGAGTTCAAAATCATTATTACAATGGTAAATCCAGACATACAAGTAACAACAACAACAACAACATACCTAGTGAAATCCCACTAGGTGGGGTCTGGGGAGGGTAGAGTGTACGCAAACCTTGCCACTACCTCGTTGAGGTAGAGAAGCTGTTTCCGAAAGACCCTCAGCTCAAGTACAACAAATCCAAGTAAAATGAAGAGGGAAACAGTGTATACATCATCAATAAAATAATGCGACAGACATACAAGTAAGAAACACAATACTATGAGATTATAATTGACAAGTGGTACCATTAATATTGATTATATCAAATCTTGTGATAATTTTGCAGATCCTCTTAATAAGGCCTTAACAAGAGAAAAGGTCTGGAGAACATCGAGTGGATGAGATTGAAGCCTATATATCCTTGAGTCATATATGAGAAAACCCAACCTAAAGACTAGAGATCCTATAACTAGGTTCAATGGGAAAAAACGAATCATATGATGACTTGTTATGAAAAAATGCACTAATTTTTATTCCCTCTCCATGATGTGGGTGCATTGTTTCCTGCAGTGATTTGTGAAAATTGAGTTTACAAAACTCTTGATGAAAATTTGTAGTCCGTATGAGTGGAGTATTGAACTTACAGGAGCATTCTCGAAAGATTTAACCTATGTGAGAGTGGAAGTAGGCCACTTCCTATGAGAATTGGGCTTATTCTCTAAAGCACTAACGAAATCAGAATAGCACAAGGTCGTAACGTGCTGACTTTAAAAGCTCATCTTTCTATGAAAATTGAGCTTATTCTCTAAAGCACTAATGAAATCGGAATAGCACAAAGTCGTAACGTGTTGACTTTTAAAGCTCATATCAACACCTTGATTATTATATGCAGGCAATGATATTTTATTTCTCTTAAGAAATCATAGTACAAGTCTGAGACTACTATGATTATGGAGTAAAAATCACTATTTAAATTTACTAAGTGGAGATTCAATGCAGAACACACTTTCATTATGCATATATAGTAATTTTCCTTATGCTGATAGACTCTCTTATTAATATTAAAATGAATGAGAGATTGTTAGTGTGAAATTTCAATATTCTAAGAATTTGCATCTTTGCGTTGCTATGTAGTCGTTGGTTTCTATCCGTTGGTGGACTTCTCATGTGCAGCAGATTGTTGGGGTAATGGCCATATTAATTGTTGCTGCATTAATCTATAGCATTACTCCATTCCTTGGCGCAGCATGTCACAAGTCGTTGGTGGCTTTGTATCCCATTACTTCTTCACCCTTTATTTCTCATTATTCTTTGTATCTTATGTAACCTCTAGGCTATTTATCTTCTTTATTTACTACATCATTATCTTCTTATTCATTGCTAGGTAGACTTTCTCAATTATAAATAGTGGTGATCTTCATTTTTTTTTAGTAAAGGAAAATAGAGAGTTCATGCAAATTAGTCAAAAAGAGATCTTCTTAGTAGTTGAAGGGAGGCATTCTATTTGTGGAGATTTGGACTTAACTCTTGTCCAGAGTTTGTTGAATTATCCTCTGTGATTAGGTTGTTGTATCTTGGAGGGAACAAGTTAAGAAGGACTAATGTTGGACCGGTGAAGACATTTGTTACACTGTGCTTGAAATTCCTTATAAAAACGAGAAATTTGTGCCTCAGCTACAAGAGATTTTTATTCTTCATTTTATTTTTCAATTGTAATTTGTAATCTTTTAATTTTCACCAACAAGATGTGCTATAAACTCAAAAGCTTATCAACACCCCTAACTTAGAGTCTTTGATTGTTATCAAGCAATAAGTAACACTAGATTAAAATATACTATGTTCAAGCAAAAATAAAATAAGTTGCCTACAATTATTTCAAGAAGTTGGTACCGGCATTCAGTTTTAAAACAAGTTTTGGCTCCTATATTTTCACATCTTTTTCAAAACCAATTTTTTACCTCAAATTGATATAATTT